TGAGATGAAATTGGGTTGTGAAATGCATTTAAAAAGAAAGACGCCCGTGCTACCTTATCATTTATCTAAGTGCTCTGTTCATGCTTTTAAGACGGTTCCTTGGGCCAGCGTCTTTGAGAAATTGCTACAGCACGAAGCTTCAGGTACTTACCCATTCCCGCGCTCCATGCAATACTTTGGGCTAGGTATAATTGATGTATTTTCTTAATATTTTAGAAATATTCTCGAAGATACTCGTGTCGCTTTAAGTGGAACGGGTGATGAATCAGAAACGCGTGAATAGGACACACATTTAAGCGCAACGAAACTTTGCAAACTTGACAGCCCGCCATAGGTAATCCGCTCTGCATTGATGGTTTGAAGCACTATGTCCAATAATCACTCTCTAGTGACAGATGAAATTCCTCATTCAATAAAAGGTCTGATAAAAAAAAATAAAACAATTCGCTACAGATAAAAACATTGATCTTGAATTGATTTCTCTGGGCACTAATATTTAAACCAAAAAAAGATTAATATGACACGCACACAACTTCAATAACCTGCAACCAGGGCAATACGCGGCTACGTATTTGCCACTGAGGTATCGGCTGGCGATGCTCTCCACTGTCACTTTGCTCCATTGACAACACAAAATATAAAAATGCCGTATAAAAAGAAAAAGAAAAAAAAAAGGGCTCTGCGTCAAACATTATTTGGGTCTCGGAAATTTCTAAAGTCGGAATGATTTGTCCGAAGCCCGAATAATAACCAGCTGACTGGGTGTATTCGAACCCGTGCTTTTCTCTTAATCACTGTTTTATTCCGACAATCGTCAAAATGCAGAGTATAAATACCAAAATTCAACATTTTGAAGGCGACGTCACATTGCTGATATACATAATAAGCATCAAAAAGAATGCAGACAGGCTCTAAGCATACTTATGTATGAAGTAAAACTTCTTTGAACCTGCATGAAGCGTGTCTCCAGATGATTCCCTCATCATGTCTGCCGCCAGCACTGTTTTTGTATAGTATATGACCAGTCGAATTGGCGGCTTTGGGAGTGATCGTAACGAAATCGTTCTAACCATTATAGATCTTATGTCCAATTTTTACGCCTTTTCTTGTCTGATCTTGCGTATCTATAGAACAGATTCCGTTCACTGGAGCGCAGCACCGCGACACGAAATACTTCCCTGGCACTCCTAAAGTGTTCTTAATGATAGGCATTAGGTTCGTGTTAACAGAGCACTACACCCCCGATACTTTATAGAGTAAACCAACAAATACGTTCCGCATTGCGAAATTGTTGCACAACGCCGAGGACGCGCAGATATGCGCGTCCTCGGCGCGCATATCTGCGCTGTTTTAGTGAAAGATTTGATTACACCTAAAATTAATCCAGATTGGAAAAAAAAGGTAAATGCGATATGTATTTGTTGAGAGAGTAAAAGTTGATCCTCCCCCAGTGGGCGCCTGGTGTATCCGCTGTGGATGAGAAATTTCGCCATTGCGATACCATTTTAGCCTGGGGGTCTTTAACGTGCATCACGCAGTTGTGGTACACTGTCGCACGCCGGTACAATGCTCATCTGGGTCAAAACAGGCTAACAAGAGGATTGAATCCAGCATCCTTTCAGGTTATGAAGCGCGAGCTTTCGCTTCATCTGCTCCAGCTGCGGTGCATTAACAAACTCGGCCTCCGAACCTCCCCCTTCAGATTTGTGTGTGTTAATAAAATATGACAAACAAAATTGTTTGCACGCTTTCTTTTTCCTTTAGAAGAACCAGGCAAACGTTCGAGCAGTCTGTCAACCTCAAATTAGCCCACTTTGCTCAGGAAAAAGCTATTTCAGTCCCGAACGAAAGGCATTTGGCAATGCCTTCAGCACACAAAGTAGCCTCAGCGTTAACCCGATCGATGTCTAAACAAACATCGCATCTTCCTGCTCGCCCTGATGCTCTCATTCACGCACGTCAAATGTGCCCCCGAGCGTTGTAGCCTTCAACTCCACCAGGAGGGGTCCGGGTCACCCGCACCGGGTAATGAACATCCTCCGCAGCGGCTACACCGCCGTCGCTGCCACGGGTCTTAACGAGTGCTTCGGTGCGTCCAACGCGGACACAATTACCGCTGCCCCCCTCCCAACAGACGCGACTGCTGGGCGGCTCTGGGCGCCCGAGTTTCCGACATTGCAGCGAGAGCATTCTCGAGCATGGCATTAGCTCTAGCGGTCGACGGCTTTGCCTTCACGGCACGGGTTCGCGGGCCGAAGCCGGGGGCCGCAGTGGGCGCATTCATCATGGGATGCCCTGGCGCGGGCAGACAGGCATGCGCGTTGGCAGTGCCAGCCCCACGCAATTTGGTGCAACGCTTAATTAGAAAAAAAAAAGAACAGGCCGGGAGCAGCAGCTTTCTGCGCCCCACCGTCTGTTGAGCGCCACGCCGGTGCGTGCCGCTGCCTGAGGCACCTCAAACCGCGTTCATTACTCTAATTACGGCCGGGGGGACAGTCTATCCACCACCGCTCCCACAACCTGGGAAGGCTGGGAGCCAGCCCGCAGTCGGCAGCTAGATTTCGCCCCGATGTTACGTTTCCTGAGAAGGTTCTCCCCGCAAAAGGCCCTCTAAGTCCACGCCGAACGGGGAGCGGGCACGCGCATAACGACACTCACCTCCAACTGAACATTAATGAGCCGAAAAAGAAGCAAGAAAAATCCTCGCTTAAACGTATCAACCTGAATTTTTTTTTTTTTTTTTTTTTAGCCTTTTAGAACTTGGTTTTACAGTGTGAACGTTCTGGGAGAAACTATCCGAATGCACAAACTATACTCAAAAATATACGAAAGAGTCAGACGAAGAGGACGGACAGGACGTCTGGCTCTTTCGCATATTTTTTTAATTTATTACCAACGCGCTTAATCGAAGTTCACAAACTATAGTGCGCCCTTCATATTTAGAGGTCTTCCTGACGCTCAGGAATGCATATTTTGTTTAGCCAAGACCCTCTCGTGCCTCTAAATTTGACGGGACATATGCGACCGTTGAAGCTACTTTCGAAGGCAACTGAGGCTTTAAAGGTCGGGGTGCCGAAATTTAGAAAGTATTCGACGAAGAATTAGAAATGAATGAGGCCTTCTAAGCAATGAGAACTCACCTTTTTTGTCACAGCTAAAGCGTTTTGAGAACGAATTGACTCATTCATCATAGAAGCCCGAAAATGAATTTTCGGGCTTCTATGATTTTCGGGCTTCTACGCAAGCACTTCCTGGTGGAATGGAGTAAACAACTATTTTTTAATGATTTATAGAACCTCAAATGTCCCAAATAAGAAGCATTACATGAGGGTTGTACAAAACATCGAAACAAAATTTCTTCGATGAATGCCTTGAAATGGGCGGGGATGGAGTGGAGCACGGCCGCCGGTGGGCAGATCGTTCGGATTCTTTGCTGCCTAGCAAAAAAACAAATTAAAAAAAGATGCGCAGTGCAGCGGGCATGTGGGATAGACAGCTTCCTGATGACTGATGCGACATGAAACGCAGTGGGCTGGTGCGACCACAGAGCTGCCAAGTGATGAGTGATAAAGCATGTGCAAAAGGCAAAGCCTATAGAGCCGTCATTCGTGCTATACTTCGTCCTTAGTACTATACATCGTTTCACTGTGAGCTTATTAATACGGTGGAGGCCGCACGCGTGAAGGTCTTGAGAACATTGGGGAGCTTTAGGCAAGCCTTCATCACTAGACTGCTAGATTGCATCTACGATCCAAAGGGTGCAACCGTAGTGTTGCACTCTTTGGTGCAACACTGAGGCAAGCAGCGACACCGTCGATGCTTGTTGAGAAGCCAAGCAGCGGCAAGCAGAGACGGTGTCTAGCTGAGTGTGGTCGAATCGATTGTCTAGACTCAAGAAGACTCTAGCCTAGAAATCGCCATTAGCTCAGTCGGAAAGTTCAACAATCCTTCGATTCGAGATCCAGCTAGCGAAATTAGTTATCGTTTTGTGTATTTTAACACTGCTTCGAGTCCGCCTCCGAGTCAAAACTTGTGAAACCGCAGCAGCAAAGTGCACAAAAGAAGAAGAAGAAGAAAAAAAAAAAGAAACAGTAACAAGAGCGATGCGGAACAAAGTAGAAATCTCGAAATAAATGCCCGATAGCCAGCGCATTCAGACGAGCCGCAACACTCAGTGCGGCGGGCATATCAGTGCTTCCCGCTTCTTTACTAGCAACTTTACGGAAACTCAAAAGTTTGTTGCAAACTTTGCGCAAGTCTTTTCATTTTTTTTTGTTTATCTACCTTTTATCGCAAAGAATATATATATATATATATATATATATATATATATATATATATATATATATATATATATATATATATATATATATATATATATATATATATATATATATATATATATATATATATATATATATATATACAGTGTAATCCACTTATAACGATACCAGATATAACGATATATCGCTTATAGCGATCAAATTTTTTAGATTTGTCAATTCTCCCATCGCCCCTATGTAAAAATAAACCATATATAACGATAGAATTATCGGCGACATATCGGATACAACGATAGAATTCTGGCCGCCCGGAAGGTGCTTATCACGAAAAATTTGCCTGGAAATTTGAGAAAAATTAAAATACTTGAAGCGAACGACATGAAAACTAGTAAAAATATCAAAAACCGGTCGGCGTGGAAAGATCCGCTAGGTGACGCGAGGCGCCGCCCGATTTAAAAAGTTCAGCCTCATCCTTCGGAACTAAGTGCTATCGTCATCGCAATCGCTGAAGGGAGGAGAGAAAGAGCTTGCTTGGCCGCCGCCGCGCAACGCTTCCTAGTTTTCCCCCGTTTCCGCAACAACGTCAGCCCGAAGCTAACGTCCGTTGAGGTAATGTTTCTGCCTCCGAACACCACGGCAGGTCTGCAGCCCATGGATGCCGGCGTAATCGCCAATTTCAAGGCCCTCTACAGACGTCGCATGCTGGAATGGCTCATCATGAAACTAGACTGCTCAGGATTGTCTCAATACGCCGGCGGACCTCCTGACCTGAAGGTGAGCTTGTTAGAAGCGGTGCGGTTCGTGCATGGTGCGTGGTATGAGGTGAAGCAGGTTACACTCAAGAACTGTTTTAAAAAGGCAGGCTTCGTGCGCCACAACGCCACGGTCTCGGAAGAGACAAATGACTTGCTCATCGAACCTGCCGATGTGGGTGAACTTTGGGACCACATAGCAGCTTCCGAGGAGAACATCGGCGGAGCTCTCTTGGGAGACTTTTTGAACGCGGACAACGCTGCCGCTTCATGCGAGGAGTCTACTGATGAGGCCATTGCCGAGGAACAGCAATCGCGACGAAAAATCACATCGAGCGACTGCGAAAGTAGTGACGACGACGGCGGCGACGAGAACACCCCGCCTCCAATGTCTTCACAAAATGCCCTGCTCTCCATCCAGTCGCTGGTCGGTTTTGTGCACGCAAAAGGACTGCCGCCAGCGTACGCGCAACAACTGGAAGCAATGCACACGGCAATTGTCAAACTTCAGCTCAAGCAAGCGCAAATTTCCGACTTTTTTAAGCATGCTTAAATTATTTTATAGTCATTTTCGTACCTTTTAATAAAGCCTTCGGTTTTCTTTGCCTCGGCTCGCGTTGTACGACCTGATTCACTCATCGCCCGTAAGTAACTTCTCTTTGTGTTTTTTTTTTGTCGGTCCAGATATAACGATAATCGGCTATAACGATTGGATTTTGCGGTTTTCTCAATATCGTTATAAGTGGACTGCACTGTATATATATTCTATATATATGCATACTAACTTGAACGTGCGCGATAATCAAACTTCCCCGGTCGCAGAAGACAATCGGAATACTCCTACCAAAAGTTTCCTCTCCTATCAGCAGCCCAGGCTCGGCTACAATATCGCTCCCTGAAATTCGAAAAGCAAATCGAGCCGCCATTTAAACTCCGTGGCCTCTTCCCTCCCGACTCACGTACACAAACACAAACGCACATTCCTTAAAAAAAGAAAAGAAGAAAATAAGCAGAAAACGACGAGAAGTTTCTCCACGCTGCCTTCGGATTGCGGTGGCAAGCAGCAGCGCAGCGTCGGCCCCGTCAAAGTGCACCCGGTGCGATTTGGGCATATGTGCTCCGGCGCTAGGAACAGAATCAGAGGCGGCTCCTCCCCAGCGCGAAGCGTGCATGCCTGATCGCAGAGCTGGGATGACACGACGCTCTGGCCAGCGCTTGTTCGGGCCCGAACGATGGGTTCCGCGGCCACTCTGAGCTTTTGAGCACGTACGCGCGCACGAGGGACCGCTGCCGTCGTTCGGCACAACGTGGACACCCCAATCTAAAGCGGAGGCGGCGTAGCGGAAGAAGTTGCGCTCGTTGTCCCTAAAGACCTACCTGTGGTCGCTGTTGGGATAGAATTTCCAGGTGGGAAGAAAGAAAAATATTAAAATAAAAACACATATACCGAAAACACCTGTTAACAACTAGCGGCTGTCCGTTCGTCGTAACAATGACAAAAACGACTTCGCGAAAAAAACAAAACAAAAAAAAAAACGGTGGCTCGGACGTGCCGGCCTTTTCATGCCACTCACGTTCTTGTGGCGGCGGCAGCGGCTTCGGTGGAGCGAGCGCTGGCTTTGCGGCGGAGTCGCCCACGATTTCTGCGGGGTCTGACGGGGTATGTTATTGCTTCAAGAACGAAGAGAAAAAAAAATCGTCGCACAGCACTACCATTAGAATGTGTTACTTTTTCTTTTTACGCGATATTATATAGGAGTGCTTGCTACTATAACACGTGATTCAAACAATGATTTTAAAAACGCTTATTAAACTTTGCAGCTCAGAAACGAAGAACTACTTCATGTATTATATCTGATACGTGATGCTTTGGTGTCGCATGGCTTGTGGATGTGGCGAAAGCAGTTTTGGCCTTTGTTCGAGCAGTGCGCAACAGCACATTTTTTGCAGTTTTCAAACATCAAGGATGCACAGCCTGGAAGTTAGGAGCGCTGCCTGCAAGTTGGGCTTTTCGACAATAGTGCAATGGCTGCATGCCGTGCATCCTTTCGCCGTGAAGCGAAATGGCTCCTTTTGGGGAGTATTTTTGAGACAAGGGTCACAAAACATGTATCTGATGTGATTCAGCGTGCATTCGCGTTGCCTTTCTGCTCTGACTCAGTGGAAGGCGCTTTTACAGGAGTGTATCATATCAGGTTCACCATGCATTGTATAGTTAAAGCGTGTTCTTTTTGGGTTCTTGTTTTTTACTTTTTTGCTAGATGAACTAAAAATAGGTGTGAACGTTTTCGATCGTTTGGCGATAGTGATGCCCGAACAGTTAATTGCTTTTATGAAGGCCATCGTTTCGCAGGGACGCGATACAAAAAAATGAAAGACGTTTACAAATCTCTGTCATGCGAAATTGGAGCGCAGCTCTTGAGGAGAAAGAGAGGAGGGTACGGAGGGGAGGATACGTTCCTTCTACTCCTTCATATTTCAAGTTTCAAGTTTCTTTATTCCTCTTCATACAAGAAGAGAGGGAGGAGGGAAAAAAGCAGTACAAAACTGCTTGACAGTGCCCTCTCCTCCCCCAACAGCAACAGCAGAAGAGGCACTCAAAACAAAAAACGCTCTCAAGAGTACACAATCAGATTTCTCACGAAACTAGTAATGATGTAGTATGCGTTTGTTAGAACAGTTTTCAATTGTAATATTACCCGACAAAAGATAGTTTAACAATTTGGGCAGCTGGTATCTCACCATCTGATTTGCGTAGTTTGTTCTCGAGCACGGGAGCGTCCAGGCGTCGGCATGGCGGGTGGCATACGAGGTATTTTGTGAGTGAAGGGAAGAAAGAGAAAGAAGACTGTTTCCCGGGTGGTTTATCGCTGCTTTATATGTCAGGGCAAGTTTATACTCATTATGATTCGTGATTGGAACAATTCCTAATTTATTGAATAACGCTGCCGTGTGGCTGTCATGTGCTTCACTACACAAAATACGAATTACTTTTTTCTGAAGTATATGAATACGATGAATATTTGCAGAAGTTGTATTTCCCCATACCAAAAAACAGTAATTAAAACTAGAATAGAATAAAGAGTTATAAAGAAGTCGTAGTACAGACTGGGGTAAGGTTTTTCTATGCTTATAAATTATACCCACCACCTTCGATAGTTTTTTCGCTATCATCTGAACTGTTTCATCCCATCGCATGTATTAACTAAACATGACACCAAGAACGTTGACGTTCTGCACAATTTCTATAACACGTGAATCCAAGGAGAGAATCTGATTTCCGCTCATTTTTACCCCCTTTGACCTGAAAACAACAACTTTCGTTTTATTACCATTTATCACTAAAGAGTTCTGGACTGTCCACGTATAAAGGTTTTCTAGAAATGTATTACCTGTCTTCATGATGTCCGAAATATCGGACCCTGCAAAAAATATACTAGCATCATCTGCATAGATTATCATGTTTGCTTCATCCGCAATGTTAGCTATGTCATTAATATACAGGTTAAATAAAAGAGGCCCTAAAATACTACCTTGTGGAACACCTGCATTAAGTTTTCTAGACTCGGAACGCTGGCAATTTATTAGAACACTTTGAAAGCGAAACTGTAAGTAGCTCTCGAGTATTTTCAGGGCTATTCCCCGAATACCAGAAAGTTCTAGTTTTTGAAGAAGAGTTTTATGATTAATGCGATCAAAAGCTTTTGAAAAATCGATAAAGATTCCCAATGTAAGAAGTTCATTTTCAATATTGTTTAGAATTATCTCTTTTTGGTTAGAGAGAGAGAGAGAAGTGTTGAAAGGAAAGGAAGCCTGGAACTTATTAACCACACCGTCGATTGGGGGCAAGCCAGTTCCAGGTTGGGGATGGGGAAAGAGGGGATCAAAAGGAAAGATTAGAAAGGTGAAGAGAAGAGAGAGAAGGCATCTTGGATGAAGTCACAGTTACTTGATTAGGTTTGTCCACTACTCTATATCTATTCACAGCACTGTCAGCACTTTTACAAGCGGTCCAGTAGGCAGGTATCTTCCAGGAATACAAGAAGAGAAGAGAATGTTCTTGCGGCATCACGAACGGAGCCGGGGGGGAAAAGAATGTCTTGCGTAGTAGAGCGGGCAACTCCCGCGATCTGCAGTTTGTCGAAGAAGATTTTTCTCTCGTCTGCGTAATTGGGACAGGCCCAAAAGAGATGGTCCACATCCTCAAGAGTGTCACAAGTAGAGCAGTTTGGGCTAATCGTTGCGTCAATTCGGTGGATGGCAGATGCAGTATAGGCACAGCCTGTGCGAAGCCGGTGTAGTACGGAGGCGCTTGCACGTGGTAGCTTCGTAGGGACGCGTGGGGGTGGTCTCCCGTCAGCGACCCGTGGGTCCGGATGATTCTGGATTATCGCTTGGTGAATTAGCAGCTTGGCTTCATGAATCCTCGGCACCACAATAATGGGAGTACCAAGCTGGTGTGCTGCAGCGGCAAGAAGGTCGGCCGTCTCATTACCCAAAATGCCTACATGTGAGGGCAACCATTGGAATGATATTTCCCAGCCCTTCGCTTGGAGGTTTCTTGCAAGGTGTGCAATGTATCGGGCATATTGAGGGGCATCATCAAGATTACCGAGATGTTGTAGCGCTATTTTTGAGTCGGTCAGGAGCAAAGCTTTCCTGCAGTAAGGAAGTTTCTCCAGGACGTCAAGTCCAAGTCTAAGGGCCACCAGCTCAGCGGTTGTTGATGTGGCGTGGAAGCTGAGCTTTCTGGCATGAGACACATTCAGGTCAGGTATATAAACCGCTGCGGTAGATGACTTGCTGCTACGAAGAACTGAGCCGTCGGTGTATATTCGCATCCATCCTTGGTACAGTGTCTCAATATGATCCTCTGTAGTTGTCCGGGCAACGACCTGTGCTGTGTTGCGTTTGCTTTTGAGCATTGGAACAGTCTCATTTATGTTCAGTGGAGGGGCATATGGTGGCGGTGCCGGGTAGTCGGTGTCCGGGTCACCAATAAAGGCCATAAACTCCGTTGCCAGAGAACCAAGGCAAGAAAGGGGGCGTTGGCGAAGGCGATTCAGAAGAGGAGCAGTTGAGCGACAGACAGTTTGCCTCGCTATGTGTCGGAGTGTTAGTTCTCTACCGTGATTTTCCACTAGGTTTACCCTCGCTTCCACTAGTGTTGGAACGTTTGGTGAATATCTGGGTAATCCAAGGCACAGACGAACTGCCACTCTCTGAAAAGTCTCTACTGCTGAACTCTGGGTATTGCCGAGGTTCACCAGTGGCAATGCGTATAGCAACCTTGAAAGAATAAGACCTCTGTAGAGATGCATCATCATTGCCTGTACGGTCCCCCATCTGCTGCCAATGGTCATGCGGATAGCGTTGAGGTGTCGGCGACATCTGATAATGGTTGTCTTGACTGCTGGTCGCCAAGAGACTCGATCATCCAGGAGGAAGCCTAGATAGGAGTATGTTCGAACCCTTGTCACGTTTGTCCCATTGATCGTGTAAGTTCGGTTGATGGAAGACCTGGCCGTTGGGTGGTATTGAAGAGCGGCTGTT